GACTCCGTCCGTCTGCTCACTGATTCTAGCAAGACCGAGAGCCGCCAAGAAACGGGTGCTAACATCAGTAGATCTGATTGAAATGAGCTAAGATCTTGGATGTCTGAGCCGATTACTCACTGCAGATGGGATATAAGTTGTATGCAGAGATTTAACTGCAAGATCGTTGGTGCAGTGGACTCGTGGTCAGCGAGTGTCGCCACTAGGCCGCAGGTACGTCGTTTAACCAGTTTGTGTGGTGATTCGAGCAATTTCGTGATGCTAGCCCGGTATCTTTGCGTCAAGTGCAGCCCGCGCACCCGCTGGCCATCGGGTGATATGATACAACGCGTACAACGCCGCTGAAACAATATCAACCTCTTCGTCACTGAAAGTGAATGGAATGAAGATAAGTGCTATGTTCAAGATTAAAATGATTAAAACTCACTGTAGGAAGGATACTAGCTGCACACAAGGGTTTATGTTTATGATGGTAGGTGCAGTGGAATTATGGTCTGCCAAATCTCCCACCAAGTAACATGCAAATTCGCGAACAGGTGCAGCCGGTGATCCAAGGAGTTCCGCAAGGTAGTCTGGTGCCTTCGCTTCTACGACTGCCTCCGCGCCGTCGGGCCACCAGGCAACCTGACTCAATGTCTCCAGGGCCTCCTTGACAACTGTGATGTCCTTGTTCCTGAATCACGGTGAAACCTTGTTCAGGAACAGAAGAACTGATACTTACTGCAGGAGGGATACCAACGGGACACATGGATTCATTGTTAGAATGGCCGGTGCAATGGAATCATGGTACACCAGCTCCCGTATTAGTATACAGGAAGCCTTCTGAACCTCGACACTTGGCGATCGAAGCAGTTCCGTGAGGTAGTCCACCACGTTTGCATTGACTGCTGCTTGTGCGCCATCGGGCCACGCGGCAACCTGAGCCAATGCATGAACCACCTTGCTGACAACAGTGTGATCTTCATCCCTAGTTTCAATTTGAGAACCATGTTCATTAACCGATTATTGAAACACACCATAAAAAGGACACGAGCTGTGCTGCGGGTTTCATCATCAAGAGGGTCGATGCAGTGGACTCATGGGATGCCAGGTTTCGCACTAGCTCGCAAGATGCATTGCGGATCTTGATGTTTTGAGATTGAAGCAGTTCTGCAATGTGGTCTACCACTGCCGCATCTGTTGCAGTTTCTGCCCCAACGGACCATCGGGCAGTCGCGGATAGTGTGTGTATTGCCTCCACTATAACATCGGCATGAGTGTCCCTGAACAAGGTTGAAGTCACATCTAGTAACAAAGAAGCAAAGCTGACCGCAGGAGGGAAACCAGCCGCCGCACACAGGGTTTCAACTCAAAGACAGCAGGTGCAATGGCCTCGTGAGATGCCAGGTTTCCCACCAACCGACAAGACCATTCCCGGACCTCTGCACTTGGTGATCCAAGCACCTGCACAATATGGTCCAGCACGTTTGCGGAGACCACTGCCCGGGCACCAGCTGTTGAGATGGCAATCTCAGCTAGAGCATATATCGCATCCAAGACAACCTCAATATCATCGCTGATAAAGATCAGGACTGGGTCAGGTGCGACTCTTCAAAGCTCACCGCAAGAGGTGACAATGGGCGCATATGGTTCTAATTCCAGGATGGCTGGCCGAGTGGACTCGTGGCATGCGAGGTTTCCCACTAGCCAACATGCCCATTTCCGGACCCTTGCACTCGATGATTTAAGCAATTCTATGGCATAGTCTTGCACCTTTGCATCCACTACCGCCTGCGCACCTTGGAGCAACGAAGAAACCTGACCTAGTGCATATCCGGCTCCGTCGATAACATCAATCTCTGCGTCACTGACTCAGGATTGAGTCATCGTTCAAAAGAAATAAACAAAACTCACGACAAAAAGGACACAAGGCGTTCCCATGGAATTACTCCCAGAATGGCCAGTGCAATGGACTGGTGGTACACCAGCCTTCCTATTAGTTGGCAAGACCAGTTCCGAACCCCACTACTTGGTGATTGAAGGAGCTCCACAAGGTAGTCGGGAACCTTGGCATCAACGGCCGCCTTTGCGCCATCAATCCCGCCGACGACCCAAGATAATGCCAGTAATGCAGGCACAACGAATGTCGGATTTTCGTCCCTGATTTCCGAGACTGAGAATCGGGTCACAAAGATGAAGACTAAGGTACTTGCCGCAGAAAAGACGCAAGCTGCACACATGAATCCAAGATAACCGGCATAGCGGAGGGGCCTAAGTGTCCCAGTAGCTCGCATGCTGGCTGCTGTAGACGCATATCTCCGGACCGAACTAGTTCCGCAACCCGGAACATCAGAATTGAATTGTTTACTATTTCCCGCACATCTTCTTCACTGGATACTGCTCTCTTCTTCAAATCCGTCAAAATCTCGGCCTTCACGAAAGGTGATGTGTATTCATTCCTGCGGGATTTCTCGGCACATGTTCAAATAAGCCAGTCACACATACGAGAGAAGGGTTGAGTAAGCGTTCACAGTTATGCTAGAAAGTGGGGTGCCGTCGTGACCCCAGAGTAAGGCCAAAGCCTGAACGCAGTACGTGACCGTCGTGAACGGTAACGGAGCCGTAAGGAGAAGGTTGGTCGTTGGAGCCCAAAGTTCAGTGGTGCTGTCCCACCACCAGTAATGTTCACTGGGGGGTGTATGTTGCGTATTCAAGGGTGGCATGGGGAAGGTGGAAGAGAGCAGTGTGAGAGCCTTGACAGGCACAGCCTACAAGCGCCGAGCCCAGCGATCATTTGCTGCCAAAAGACAAGAATCTATCTTATAAATCCCAAATTCACCAAACACACGGTACCGAAATTTCGGCCAACTTCAAGTTAACTGTTAGATTCAAAATGTGGTCCGAAAACTCAACAAATAAAATGTACGCTGAAATGCCACGTTTCGGCTTATCGATCGTTATCGATGGGATCCCATTGGATGGTGACGACATTTCAGCTCGAGTTTCGTGCAAACTGATTTTTCAGGTTTCGGACCACAGTTTGAATCTAATTTGATCAAAGCCGGCCGAAATTTCGGTAATCTCGGTGTGAAAGGCGGTCCCCCCACCTGAGATCGGCAATGCAAGGTAGTGATATTAACATGCTGGGCAGGCATATGGTACAGACGATCACTGCCGTCCTCTGGCTCAGTCCCCGGCTAGTGTGACCGGCATAGCAAAAGAAACGAGCCGAGATTGGCAGTTTAAAGTTTCAGGCATGGATTGAGCAGGAATTATAATGTTCGAGTACCAAAGGGGAGGTAGGTGGTCACAACATCGCGATATGTTATGGATCCGAGACTTCGTAAGCGCTAGCCTCGAAAGATCCAACCGCAAGCCTGAGGGCGATGGATCGATGGTGGAATCGTGGCGAAGTCATGGTGGGAAGCAAGAAGATGGCGGCGTTTAACCTTGACGTCGGATCAATCTCCCTTGTTGCTCAGTCAGACGCCCAAGCGCTGAGCGCTTGATGAATTCCATCTCCGTCCCCGGGTTTCTTCTGTTGAAGCTTTGACAGGTGGTTGCTGTTGACATATTGTGGTTCGTTCCAGTCGTAGCTTGGCCGCCGTTCCATTTTAAATGATGTTTTTTTATGTCAAAAGTAGGTGCTGAAAATGCTTGGGAAATCCAGGGCTGTCCCATCGGAAGAATCTGATTGGAGAAATCGCCAACATTAACGCAACAGCGGCACCAACATTGATCGGTACTATTGTTTGACTGTTGTTCTCGTTCGAGAAAACTGATGCGCAGCGCTGCAGCTGAGTAATGCGTGCATTGGAAAGGTTGTGGCTTGAATGATTATAGTTGCCCGGGAAACCAGGCTATCACACTCACCAGTGGAGGAGAAAAGAAAGGACTAACAAAATCCGCGGAGAGAACCCGAAAACTTGAAGGCTGAAGCGAGCCCACCGAAAATAGAATAAGCGGGATAAAAGGCACATCAGTGTCTGGACTCGGAGGATGACTCGGATTGGACTCGGAATCCAATCCGACTAAATGCGGCAACGTCTGAACATCCCTGTCCGTAATCGTGTATTTGTAATTTTGTATTGCTTCTCAGATTGTCGACCCCGAGTGACTGGATCTTGACCAAGGGATTTAATTTGGTAGCGCGCTCACCAATTTTGTCATGTCCGCACAAAGCCGGTCTCGCATTACCAAGAACTTGAATGACGTGCCTTTAATTAGTCCTTTGGACTTGCTGCTCAAACATCTGAACGAGCTGCATTCATATTTCACAGCGTCCGGATGGTGGCCAATTCGGAGAATTGGTCGTGAGAGTATATTGAATGTTTATTTCAAGGAGTAGCCTACCAACACTGGCTTCCTATGTACCCGACTCGCAGAGATGAATGAGTGTTGAAAGACAGGAGGGTCGGTGAGGGTTGAAATGCCCGGCTGTGGGGGCCCGCCCTGGCCTGGCAGGGGCGAGAACGGCGGTGAGGTCGTGTTGGTGCTGCCCGTTGCGCTATTCACTGTTGATGTTGAGCCTGGGGCCCGTGCGGAGGACCACGAGCTCGAGCCGGAAGACATGGAGAGAAGAGGGAAGAGCAGAGACGTCCACAAGGCGGGGGAGATGTCGGTGTCGCTGAAGGAACAATAGTCGGGCCTCTGAGAGAATGTTGGCGGCGATGGGGACTAGAGCGTCGGCGTCGTCGTGAGCAGCGGCGATGACGAACAAAAGACTTGTCAGCGAGAATAAATGACGTTGTGTCATCACTCCCGGCGATCCACTCCGCTGTTCGGCAACTCCCTTTTCCGGTCTTGTTGTCTCAACCACGATTCTGAATAAGCACCGAGACTGCTGCGCAGACGACTCCGGTATCTGTTTCTTGCCAGCTCCCAACGATCAAGGTCCCGACCAGTGACCACAATCAGTTTCAACCGATCGGTCCGCGGAGGCTTTTTTTCCACCCCCTGATTCGCGTTCTTTTGGCTTCAAAATGTCTCGCATTCCACCAACCTCAAAATGGTGTATGCAAAGCAGTGTGGTGTAATGGTGCACATGGGATTCCTTAGCACTTCTCACCTGATCAACCCTGAGGTCCTTGTTCGAATCAAGGTACTGCTCTAGCAATCATCACAGCAGATTTCTTTTTCGCACAAAATTCATATGAATCTCTAGCACTCACACCACTTCGAAACTGGTCAAAGAAAGCAGTATGGTGTAATGTTGCACATGGATAAAATTGCCGGATTTTCACAAACTTGATCCGAAGGTCTTTGTTCGAATCAAGGTGCTGCTCACTGCATTCAGACCCCCCCATAGGCACAGATGTGCCCACCTTCACCGATCCCTGCCTATGGACTGCCCACCCAAGCCGACGTTGGTCTACCCTAATAGGCATCGGCCGACGTTGGTCTAGCATCCCTACCAAGGCAAAGCCTGCCCACCTTGGTAGATCTTCACCGACAGTGGTGTGTCTATCTTGGCCAACCTTGGTCAACCTTGGCCGACCTGGGTCTAGGTTGGTGTTGGTTGGAATGGCTGGACGGGTACAAGTCATGTCAGATATTGAATTTGGCTAACTAGGCTTAGCTGGGCTCATCGGCCCACGTGAGTCTATGTGTGCCTAATCCAGTGGGAATACCTAGACCAACCTCGCAGGGATGGGCAGATGGATGGGCAAGGGTCAGCACACTGGTCTGCCTACACATCTGCCTATCAGGATCTGGCAGACCTGTGCCTACGGGGGGGTCTGAACGCAGTGGCTGTCTTCCTTTTCTTGTTCAACTTTTTCAACAAACATTCCTCAAAAACTTCTAGCACTCCACCCACCTTGAAAGAGGGCAAAGAAGGCAGTATGGTGTAAAGATGCACACAGGGATTTGCTTGACTGTTTCCGAGGATCAAGGTACTGCTCTGACAACCTTCACAGCGCATTTTCTTTTTCGCACAAAATTCATAAAAATCTCTAGTACTCACCCAACTTCGAAACTGGGCAAAGCAAGCGGTATGGTGTAATAATGCACACAGGGAATTCTTCACTGCAAAATCAAACCCGAAGTCCTTGTTCGAATCAAAGTACTGCTATAATCATGCAACAAGCATTTTCAACAAAATTCCTATGAATCTCTAGCACTCATCCAACTTCGAAAGAAGATAAATAAAGCAGTATGGTGTAAGGATGCACATGGGATTAAATTGTAGCATTCTCACAAACTTGATCCCAAGGTCCTTGTTCGAATCAAGGTGTTGCTGTCTTCGTTTCCTGTTCAACTTTTTCAACAAACATTCCTCAAAAACTTCTAGCACTCCACCCACCTTGAAAGAGGATAAAGGAAGGCAGTATAGTGTAACGATGCACCCAGGATTTTCTCAAGTGAGAACAGTGATTGATCCCAAGGTCCTTGTTCGAATCAAGGTGCTGCTATGGAGCAGTCTGGAGAGGTTTTTTGCACATAATTGCTCTGAATCTCCAGCACTCCACCCACCTCGAAACAGGGCAAATAAAGCAGTATGGTGTAAGAATGCACACGGGATTTCCTTGAGGTGTTCGAGTGGCATGTGTAATTCCCGAGATCCTTGTTCGAGTCAAGGTACTGGTCTGACCAGGATGGTGAGTTGCTTTTTGGCTATATTATGCTGACTCTCTGGCACAATACCAACCTTGAAACTAGGCAAGGAAAGCAGTATGGTGTAATGCCGCACACGGGATTTTCCTACCCCGCTGAATAAATATTTTGTCCCGAGGTCCTTGTTCGAATCAAGGTATTACTCTTCTGTTTGTTCAGATATTTTCTTTTGGCAAAAAATTCCTCTGAATTTCTAGCACTCACCCGCATTCGAAAAGGATGAAGGAAAGCAGTATGGTGTAATGATGCCATGGGTTTCTTAGCAAGTAATCCATAATCTATATCCTTGAGGTCCTTGTTCGAACCAAGGTACTGCTCTGTAGGATCGGGATCTAGGAATTTTTTTTTTATGAAATCCCACAGAGTTTCTGGCACTCCACCAACTTCGAAATGGCCCAAGGAAAGGCAGTATGGTGTAATGATGCACACAGGATTTGCTTTAAGGGTGGAAGTGCAGAACATATTCCTAAGGCCCTTGTTCGAGTCAAGGTACTGCTCTCCATCTCTCCGAGTCCTTTTTGGCACAAGATCCTGCTGAATTTCTAGCACTCCCAGAGGTTCGAAACAGAGCCAGTAAAGCAGTATAGTGTAAGCTGCACGTGGGGTTTTCTTGCAACGGCACCACAAATCCTATCCCTGAGGTCCTTGTTCGAGTCAAGGTACTGCTCTTCCGTATTCCCACCTACGTTTTTTGTGGCACAGAATTTCCCTGAATCTTAGCACTCCACTGACCTTGAAACAGGGTAGGAAAGGCAGTATGATGTAATTATGCACATGGGGATTCCTTAGGACAGATGGGATCTGATCAACCCTGAGGTCCTTGTTAGAATCAAGGTGCTGCTCTGTACGATTGGGATCTAGGAATATTTTTTAATAAAATCCCATAGAGTTGCTGGCACTCCACCAACTTCGAAATGGCCCAAGGAAAGGCAGTATGGTGTAATGATGCACACCGGATTTGCTTTAAGGGTGGAAGTGCATAACATATTCCTGAGGCCCTTGTTCGAGTCAAGGTACTGCTCTCCATCTCTCCGACTCCTTTTTGGCACAAGATCCTGCTGAATTTCTAGCACTCCCAGAGGGTTCAAAACAGAGCCAGTAAAGCAGTATAGTGTAATGCTGCACGTAGGTTTTCTTGCAACGGCACCACAAACCCTATCCCTGAGGTCCTTGTTCGATTCAAGGTGCTGCTCTTTGTTGGCTGCTTCCATTTTTTAGTACAAATTTCCTCTGAATCTCAAGCACTCACCCACCTCAAAACAGGGCAAATAAAGCAGTATGGTGTAATGCAGCACACATTTCCGTACGAAGTGGTCATCCTGGCAAACTTAATTCTGGAGTCCTTGTTCGACTCAAGATACAGTTCTCCTCTTTGTCCACAACTTTTTTTGGAACAAAATTCATTTGAATCACTTGCACCCCACCCACCTTGAAACAGCGAAAAGCAATGTAATGTCACACAGGATTTTTTCAGTGTTGCATCCACGCCACAAGTAATCCTGAGGTCCTTGTTCAGGTCCAAGGTACTGCTCTCCATCTTCCCAATGTCTACATTTTTGAACAAATTCCCATGAATCTCTGACACTCCACCGACTTTGAAAAGAATGAAGGAAAGACAGTATGGTGCAATGATGCACACTGGGTTCCCTTATCATGTCATCCAAAACACCTATCCCTGAGGTCCTTGTTCGAGTGCTCTTTGTGAGAAATGTCATGCTTTTGAGGCCTTTTGTTTACACAAAGTTCCTTCTGAATCTCTGGCACACCACCAACTTCGAACAGGGTAGGGAAAGCAGTATGGTGTAAGGATGCACACAGGGATTTCTGGCTGCAACGTATGACTGTTTCTCTCCAAGTTCCTTGTTCGAACCAAGGTACTGCTCTAGTGACTGATTATGACATTTTTTTGGCACAAAATTCCCACAAATATCTAACAGACCGGCTCAGATGTGGTGGGGCTACACTCTGCGCCCTGTCCACTCCCTGGACCAGAGCAAGAGGTGAGCGAAATTTTTGAAAAGTACATCAACCTCATTTTGGGACGAGTTTAGGGCCCTGATTCTGAAACTGAAGATATATTTTTATAAAAGTGAAAATTGGGTGGGAAAGACCATGATTTTATGCTTCCTGGCCCACTACTGATCAAATAAAATCCAGGAAAATCAGAATCAGAGACTCGCACCCCAGCAATGGGGGTACCGCCCACCGACCATCTTTTCGACGAGTATTCAGGGTGCTAGAGGCGGGGGTACACCGGAGTTACATCATGTTTTGCTTACATTTCTTTTTTCTTTTTTGAGGGGGTTGTCAAAGAGGTTAGTGTTTGATTGGCTATGATCGACCCAGTGAGAATCCCTTATGCCGGAGTCTGCCCTAAGCTGCCCCAATCTGCCTACCCAAAGGCTGGCATGAATGGGCAGATTGCGGCATAGAAATGAGCCTATAGCAGATTGATAGCAGATGAGATTTTGAGCTTGATCTGCTGCCATCTGCCCATTTCTGCCCAATTTCTGCCCAGCGCTGCCGCAGTCTGCCTATATATGCCCCGCTATAACTACTGCTTCTTTCTGCTTCCTCTGCGTATTTGATCCAGAAATAATATTATTTTGCTAAGTACGACACGCTTCCAACTACAACTACAAGTCCCGCCCACTCTCATACTTCGCCCCATCGCGGCATCCACCCGTCGCGCGTAGCGCGTCAACCAGACCAGCCAACTCGAAAAATGCGCGTTCGAGTCTGGGAATAGGTAAGCATAGGCACATTCGACTTGACAACAAATTACCTCACCGACATGAGGTGCATATAGCTGTTCCAAGGTCGGAAATGGCGAGAGCAGATAATCGAAGTCGAAAGGACTCTGAAAATGACATTGAGAGATGATATAAACACAGATGAGAAATGTACCATAGGTCCACGTCGCCCACTACATATCTGCGAGAACGCATAAGTAGGAATGGAAAGACCTGGGGCCATTGACCAGAACGACGTATGTATGAGTATATGCCTAGGGAGACTCACTGTCCAACTCGGCTCTTGGCTCCCAACGCAGCCTACAACGTCGCCTCGTCAACATTCAAAATCAGCGTCGTAAAGAACGTGATCATCTAACGCGTCCGAATGACCGAAGGGTAGCCAAATTAGCATGCTTCATAATAATGAAAACCGCTAAAACGTACACCCAGGAGCCCCTCTAAACATGGCGACACGACCTGCACAAAGGTTGAGACAGTACAAGTCAGGGTAGAAGACAGACCTTGTGGTATTGAAAGTGAGATATAGTACAGACGAATAGTAGGCCGATGAGCGTGAGCCTGCGCGGATTCGCTACAGCCCGCCAATCGCGCAGGCAGAGGCTGATGTTAATGTGGAGATGAAGGTGCAAGAGAACTGCGCCTCACTCACTACTTGGGGAAGATGTCAAAACGTTGAAGCGCGTGAAGACCTCCTCGAGGGTTTCGTCCGACGAGGTGATCAACTGTACATAATACAAAGCAGAGTTAGTCTGTGCGGGGATGATGCTAACAGAGTGACGTGCGGGACACCACTCCACCCACCGCTTGTCGCTCGGGATATATGCGCGCCAGTACTCGACGTGAGGGCGAGAAGATCGGACGGGACTAGTTCGCTCATGCGTGCGGTCAAGGACAGACAGGCATCGTGTCGAAGGGGGTACTTACACGCCTAATACGACGGTTCGAGGAGATGAAGAGAGGCCCACGACGGAGCGGCGGTGTATAGTGGCTCTATGTCGCTGAAAGAGTTGAGTTTTCGAACGGCTAACCTGAGAAGAGACACAAGAAACGCGACAGTCAATGTGGAGAAAAAGACAGAAGGATTAGCGCATAGAACGAAGATACCTCTAGAAGCTGCTAAAAATGCGGTTGTCGTACTGGTACTTGCCATTGTCTTCAATTGTGGGTGATTTGTACCATCCAGGAGCCCGTAGAATGGACGTTTAGAGGCGCGGGGAGTGAATGAAGAGAGACGAGTGTCGCGAGTGGGGAAAAGAGCGGGGACCGAGTAAGGGAGATGGTGGTGGTAGGAAGCAAGAAGTGTTTTAAACTCCGACAGCCTTGACATCAATGACGTGGGCCGTCCTGATTCCACGGCTCTGCACGCGACTCAAATATATTGATTCACAGTCTTGGAAAACTCGAAGACGGTCTGCTGAGGAAATGAAGCCGCAATTGAACCAATTTAAACCAATTTGAGGACTTGGACTGACCTGGCCGATGGCGGCAGAATTGAGCCGAGGTAAGCCAAAGTTGGGCAGATTGCGGCAGATGTCGGCAGGTTCCGGCATAAGGGATCTTCACTGGGTATGATCTCTCGCCTCTTCAAGTTGGACCAGAGGTTGAAAACTGGGCAGTGTGGTGTAATGCTGCACACAGGAATTTCTTAGCAATAATCCACATCTATGTTTCTGAGATCCTTGTTCGAATCAAGGTGCTGCCTTTGTATCTTCGGCTCCCATTTTTTGGCACAAAGCTCCTCCAAATTTCTGGCACTCGTACAGGTTCAAAGTATGGTGTACACAGGAGTCTCATTCTCAGTAGATCAGAGTGTATTCCGGAGGTCCTTGTTTGAGTCAAGGTACTGTACATACTATCCCCCCCCTAGAACTCGGACACCAAGGAAAGATCGGTAGATATCAATTTTATTCAGTGGTCCTAGATGCATTCTGAGTGGATATATCGTCAGAAATTTGTCTTTTGCCTTGGTTTCAAATTTTATTTCATGAGAAACGGATAAGAATTGGGCAAACGGCGTCGTTTTTTGGGCGGTAGTTAAGTGTCCGAGTTCTAGGTAACGGGTCAAATTCTGATCGCCGGCCTCACAGCTAACCACCTTGCGGTCGTAGCGCCTCCAAACTTCATAGGGTGGGACACCTCAACAGGAACTATAGCACGCATTTAGCAGTGGTAAAGGCAAACCCACGGTAGTCGACAGGCAGCATGAAATTTCTTGCCATCATTTTTGGCAGTTGAGAAATCAATTTGGCAGGCATGCCATGATTGTTCGGTTTATTATAAGGGCTACAAGACAGCTATGCCTCTGAAATTTTATACGGGTACTCTTATGATGTCAAGGTATCTTTTAGGCGTGTTCATGAAGTAATATGACTTCAAGTGGAGGGCCCAAAACCATAAAATACCCAAAATCAAGCTTGGTTCCATTGGCGCACATCGAGGGATCCTATTCACTTCTGATTTGGCAGATGAGTCTTGACCACTGGCACCAGGCCCCGAAGAATGCCCAACGAGTTTTCGTGTGCTGTTGAATCCATGTGAGGTCGTTTGACGAGGGTACCTTCGCGCAAGTGTAAGGGATTTGTGCTAAGCTCAAGTGCCTCAACTTGTGTTAGTACCAAACGGCAATACAGTTCGACTGTGTGACTCATAATACTGAAACTTAGACCGCGTGCCACAGGTTGGCTTTTCCTTTCATAGCCAGTGCCTTACTAAAAAACGTCTCAGAGTTACCTTACCATGCCGCCTCCGATGCCAGCCATTTTTTTCAAGTCATATATGACAATCAGCTTCCTGACGGCTGGTAATGGCTACTTTTGAACTTGCTTTTGATGTCCCTGCCAGTGCGCACCGTTGAAAGGCAAGAAGCCACTGTCGCTCGCGAAAATCGAAACATCTTACACCATCAATGAAGGGACTTGATTTAGAGTACGCGTTACGGTACCTTGAGATTTCAGTTGACATTCACTATGTATTTTACTATCCATCGGAAAGGAACTAGGCACAATTTAGAATTTCAATACGTGAAAACAACCCGACAAGGGGGCAAGTCTCATGGGCTCTCCGATCAGGAGGAAGGGAATGTCATGCATTTGGTGCGGTGCTGCGTTCACCTCGACCATCAATTCGCTGGTACTCGAGAAATAATTCAATTAATTTGAAATCACCTGAACTGAGAGGATGAATCTACCCTAGGCGTTGCCATCTAAAACATCACCAGCCGAATGAGTTCCTCTCTCGCTTCTCCCGCGCGCGCCTCCTTAAGGGCCTTCGACATCTTGGCCACATTTTCCTGCAATCTTGCACCCTTGTCACCCCGCGCAGCAGCAAACGTCGCCTTGAACTCCTCCGACGCGTCCTGCACAGTCCCGGTAATTTTGACATTACTGTGGAGGGAGGGCGCGATTTGCGGGCCAGCACGAATCTGCGCACGTTCAAGTTAAATGGGTTGATTCAAAAGGAAATTAGGGAACGCTAATACCTGCAGGAGCTCGATCGCCACTGGATTCGGCTCAGCTGACAACATCGCCGCTTTGACAGTCTGCTCAGCGCCAACAGGCCAGATAATGAGCGGGATGCCCTGCGTAAATGACTCGGTCACAGAACTACGAAAAAACGTGAATGGTGCGAAAATAAAACAAGTTGACTGGAGATAGTGGGTGAATACTTACTTGAACCCGCCGTGTGTGAGGAACCACCCGACGCTGCCGTGCTGCAGGATCGCGAGCTGCTCGACCCAAAAGTCGCAAATGAGCCCTTTCCCGCTCGCGTTGACGCGCTGTATGAGATCTGCAGGGAGGGACGCCATCTGGGACCCAAGTGCGAAGATGAATGGGAATGGCTGCTCGAGTCCGAGTAGCGTAGTCACAAGCGCTTTGACGAGCTGCGGCGTGGCAACCGGGAAGAAGAGCGATCTGGCGAAAGTACGACATGTAAGGAATCTGAGCAGTAATGAAGAATACACGCGCGCACCCGAAGGAGATGTAGAGCACAGATTTCTTGCCGTATTCACCCACAGTGCGGTCCAAGAACGATTTGACACGCTCGTTGGACAGCACAGCCGGGGTAGCATTGGCCCAACAGAGCTCGTGCGCCTGCATCCCGATGGTAAACAGCTCTTTCCCGTGCGTCCCGTAAAATTCACGGAGGTACGGCACGCCGACGGGCTCGACACAGGTGCTGGTGGTGGCAATGTATCCGTCGGCGGCCTTGCCGAGCTTCTGTGCGCTCGACAAAAGCGCACCCAAGCCAGTCGGTGGGCCGGCGCCATATGCGTGGCGCTCGTAGTCGTACATATCGGGGCCGCCGGGATACTTAATGACGAGTCCTGATATTTTATCCGTGCCGTTAGAGGCCTCGAAAACCTGTGAGGGTGAGGTTGGAATCAATTAATGGCAAACAACCTTGGATGAAACCCAACATTTTGCACAATGTCCTCCAGAGAGCGACCCTCCCGCTTCGACTCGTCCGCGTAGATCTCCTCAGCTATCGCAGTAAAATCGTGGTCGGTGAAATGCGCGGGCAAGGAAATAATGGCGGAGGACCACCAAACAAGGGTCTTGCAGTCGGGACCAAAAATTGCCTTGGTGGGTTCGATTACCACCCCTCCGCAGGCGAAATCGAACTGAGAGAAAACATCGGCAACGGAAAATGAAAACACAATTGGGACTCACATGAATGGCCTGTGGTTTGGGCCATCCCTCACTTCCGTGAGCCAATTGAGGGATGGTCTCCATCCAGCCGCCACAAAGCTGTCCGAGCGCTTCCTTGAGCATGGTCGGTCCAAACTCAAGGCTGCAAAATCAAGGAGCGATCAATCAGCGAAACGATGCGAAGAACTGGGGACGCACTCTTTGGCGCCCACCCCAATGAGTCGAACTCGCGCTTTGTCGTAGGAGCACCCCGCCAGCGCCGCCTCCATCTTCGGGACTGATCATACGCAAATCGCAATTCAGACTTTGTTTGGTATTCTTGAGAAGGTACGCACCCATAAGATTGTGCTGCACAATCGTAATAACGAGGGTAGGATCTACAGCGAGCATCTGGGTCACAGCATTGATGTAGCTGATTGTGTGTCCCCACGCGGGCGGGAGCATTGCGACAATATGGTGGGTAGCCATGTTGAACAGGAACGGATGGAGAGTGAAACAAGGGAGCTTTCTGGGTTTGACTGCTCTTGTAAGTAGGAGGTGCTGGAAATGCTTGGGAAATCCAGTGGCGTCCCATCTAAAGAATCATCTCATGCTGATAAATGTCCAACTTGGCGGTCCTTGAAAGTTGAAACACAACGCAACATTGATCGCCGGTGCTGTGTCCCCGCCCGAGAAAACTGAGGCACAGCGCTGCAGAGGAAATCGCACTGCGGCGGCTGCGTGCATCGGAAAAGCCGTCGCTTGAACGAGTATAGTCCTGGTAGCCCGGTAAACCAGGTTACTAGTAGAGGAGAAAAGAAAAGAAAATCCCTGGAGAGAACTTGAAAAGAAGAAAATAGGTCAGAATAAACCAGACAAAAGGTACATCAATGTCTGGACTCTGGACGGTGACTCGGCCTTCTTCTGTTTGAAGTACCCGGTCCGATCAATTCGACTAGGAGATCGGCATATACCTGGATATGTCCAATACATTTTGGCCGATTCCATTCATGAATTTTACCTCCGTATTGTGATCGGGTACTTAGGTCGTTTTTCGGCCCAAACAGTCAACAAAGTGGATCGGACCTGAGGCCACGTGAGGTGCCATCGGCAAGTTTGTTCCCGACTTGCGAGCAATTTTTTTTGACTCAACGCTTTTCGCCCTGCGCATTTTTTTGGAAAGAAATTCATCTGAATCACTAGTAGTCACCCACCTCAAAACTGGGTAGGAAAAGGCAGTATGGTGTAATCACTGCGTTCCCACCCGTCCTAGACTCAGCTGAGACTAGGCACTGTAGGTTGTGCCAGATGGAGTTAGGTTGGTGTAGGTCCCTACACAGCCCCCCATCTAGGCGACTACACGTAATGTCCGTCTAGCTTTACGGGTACCCAGTAAGGCAGCTAAACTCAAGTCAGTGTAGATGAGGGTAGCTCGTGGAAGGTGAGGGTAGCTCCCTAAACTCAGCTGCACAGACCTAGACTTACGTTTTAATGTTGAACATTTCCATCATCTAATATTCTGAGCAACCACATCCCTTCCCCCCTTGCATAGGTGGCTACAAGCACCTGTTGCAACCTACACAGATCCTGCCAGACCTAGACCTACCTGTACCAACCTAGCCAGAGCCAGACAGACCTCCACAGACTATTCTCTAGGCACCTAGCCTCAATCATCGATGTAGCTACTTCTAGGTTCCTACACTCAAGCTGAGTCTAGGAAGGGTCGGAACGCAGTGAATGCCGCACACGGGATTTTCTTGGGGTTTTGGCACATTTAATCTCGAGGTCCTTGTTCGAATCAAGGTACTGCTCTTGTGCTGACTCGAGAGTTTTTTTTGGCTAGATCCGGTTCAATCTCCAGCATCCACTGACTTCGCAAAGGATGTAGGAGAGGCAGTATGGTGTAATAATGCACACGGGATTTTCTTACGAATGGCGCTTGCATGTGCTCATTCACGAAGTCCTTGTTCGAATCAAGGTGCTGTTCTTCGGGGCAATCCGGGAAATCTTTTTACCTAGATCCCTCTGAATTTCTAGCACTCCACCGACTTCCGAAATTGTTCAAGGGAAGCAGTATGGTGTAATGATGCACACGGGATTTTCTTGAGGCTCGAGTTGTATGTGTAATTCCCAAGGTCTTTGTTTGAGTCAAGGTACTGCTCTTACTTTGTGCCCTACGCTTTTTTTTGCACAAAATTCCTCTGAATCACTGACACTCCACCCACCTTGAAACTAGGAAAAGAAAGCAGTATGGTGTAATGATGCACATGGATTTGCTTGAACCAGGCTGAATCAAGTCATCTCGAGGTCCTTGTTCGAGTCAAGGTACTGCTCTTGTGCTAAGCTGTTATCTTTTACCTAAATCTGACAGAATTTCTATCACTCTACCCACCTCGAAAAAGGGTGAAGTAAAGCAGTATGGTGTAATGATGCACACATGAATCTCATGACCAAGAAGTACAAGAATGCATTCCTGAGGTCCTTGTTCGAATCAAGGTGCTGCTTTCCGGATTTTCGCACTTTTTCATGGCACAAGTTTCCCTCAGCACCACACCCACTTTGAAACAGAGTAAAGAAAGCAATTATGCACACTGGTTTTCTCATGGTGTCAATCAACATGCCTATCCATGAGGTCCTTGTTCAAATCAAGGTACTGCTCTTGTGCTGACTCGAGAGTTTCTTTTGGCTAGATCCCGTTAAATCTCCAGCATCCACTGACTTTGCAAAGGATGGAGGAGAGGCAGTATGGTGTAATGATGCATGCGGGATTTTCTTGATTAGACTGTTGAAACTAAAGTAATTCCTGAGATCCTTGTTCGAATCAAGGTACTGTTCTGTTCTACTGGATTGCTGCATTTTTTGAACAAATTTCATCAGAATCTCTAGCACTCAATCGACTTCGAAACAGGGAGAGAAAGCAGTATGGTGTAATGATGCACACAGGGTTCTCCTAAATGTTTGAAGATGAGAATAATATATTCCCGAAGTCCTTGTTTGAATCAAGGTACTGCTCTCCATCTTCCCACTCCACCTTTCTTTTTTGGCACAAAAATCCCTTTGAATCACTTACATACCACCAATCTGGAAACTGGGTATAAAAGGCAGTGTGGTGCTGAGGCACACGAGATTTTCTTACCCCGTTGATAAAATATGTTATCCCGAGGTCCTTGTTCGAATCAAGGTACTGCTCTAGTAGGGGTGCTCAATTCTTAATCCGAACGGGTTCAGTTCGGATTTTAATTCAATATTTGTGTGCACCAAACAAACAAAGCCAATTTGTTCCCGACCTCAACCCCGTATTTGTCGAGAAAACCAGAGATAAAACGGACCAAAGAGGTCTTGTGGTGAGGTGGGAAGAAAACCGAGAGGAAATGAGCAGGAAATGCAAAGCAAAATCTTGGTCAAGCTTTGTTTGGCCGACCAAATATCGAATTAAAATCCGAACTGAACCCGTTCGGATTAAGAATTGAGCACCCCTAGTATAGATAGATCAAAGCATTTTTTGGGAACAAAATTCCTCTGAAATTCTAGCACTCACCCATCTTGAAACAGGATAGGAGAAGGTGGTATGGTGTAATGATGCATGTGGGATTTTCTTATGGTCTGAATATATCTTAATCCCGAGGTCCTTGTTCGAACCAAGGTACTGCTCTAGATCTGGATCTGTGATGTCCTTTTTCTTTTTCTTTCAACCAAGTAGCTCTGAATTTCTAGTCCTACACCCACCTTGAAACTTGGTAAAAAAAATGCAGTATGGTGTAATGATGCACGCGGGATTTTCTTACAATGGGTTTTGCACATGCTCTTTCCCGAGGTCCTTGTTCGAATCAAGGTACTGCCTTTCCCTAGTTGCCTTCTTTTTTTTTCCAAAAAAAGAAATGGATGTATAGCAGGCACCGCACCCTCCTCGAAACAGGGCAAAGGAAGCAGTATGGTGTAATGATGCACACGAGGATTTCTTATTGCAGCCTGAGAGTATTTATCCCCGAGGTTCTTGTTCGAATAAAGGTACTGCTCTTTTGTACTCTTCTAGACCTCCATTTTTTTGATACAAAATTCTTACTAATCTCCAGCACTCCACCTACCTTGGAACAGGGCAAACAAAAGCAGTATGGTGTAAGAATGCACACAGGGATTCCTTAGCAGTTGTGACTTTGTGATTTGATTAACCCTGAGGTCCTTGTTCGATTTGAGGTACTGCTCTTAATCCTCCAACTCCTTTTTTTTTGCGACAAAATTCCTCTGAATGAGTTACATTCAATCAAGCTCAAAAGAGGGTAGGCAAAGTAGCATGGTGTAATGATGCACACGGGATTTACCTAACATAGTGATCCCGAGATCTTTGTTTGAATCAAGGTACTGCTCTGATCGAGATTGCTGAGTCTTTTTGGCACATTTTCTTTGGCCCAAAATCCCTCTGAATCTCTAGCACTCCCCCCACCTCAAAACAGGGCAAAGAAAGCGGTATGGTGTAATGATGCACACTGGGATTTCTTGCTGTAACGCATGACTGTTTCTCCCCAAGTTCCTTGTTCGAACCAAGGTACTGCTCTACTGGTTGATTATGGCATTTTTTTTGGCACCAAATTCCTATGAATCTTTGGCACTCCCAGAGGTTCAAAAGATAGAGAATGAAAGCAGTACGGTGTAATGCCGTACACGGGACTTTCTTCTGTCCAAGTTGATGTATAATTCCCGAGGTCCTTGTTCGAATCAATTTACTGCTCTCCATCTTCCCACTCCACCTTTCTTTTTGGAAAGAAATTCATCTGAATCTCTAGCACTCCTTCAACTTTGAAAAGGATGAAGGAAAGCAGTCTGGTGTAATTATGCACATGGAAATTTCATGGGCGCAAACCTATGAGAATGTATTCCCGAGATCCTTGTTCGAATCAAGGTGCTTCTCTTGGTGGCGATTGTAATGTGTTTTTTCATCTTTTTTGGAACAAAATTCCTCTGAATGACTTGGACTCCACTGAAAATGGGGTATGCAAGGCAGTATGGTGTAATGATGCACACAAGGATTTTCTTGCAACATTTGAAGCATCCCTAATCCCGAGGTCCTTGTTCAAATCAAGGTGCTGCTTTCGTTTTCCAGTGAATACCTGAGTTTTTGTCATATTTCTAGCACTCCACCTACCTCAAAACTGGGTAGGAAAAGACAGTATGGTGTAATGCTGCACACGGGATTTTCTTATGCCAGCACCACGACGTGAATGTATTCCAGAGTTCCTTGTTCGAGTCAAGGTACTGCTCTATGACAAATCGCGACCATCTTTTTACTAGATCCTGCTCAAACTCCAGCACGCCATCGACTTCGAAACAGGGCAAAGGAAAAGCAGTATGGTGTAATGATGCACACCGGGTTTCCTTACAGCCTCAAAAATATGCATCCCCGATGTCCTTGTTTAATCAAGGTACTGCTCTTTTGTACTCTTCTAGACCCCCTTTTTTTGACACAAAATTCCTACAAATCTCTAGTATTCAATCAGTCTCAAAACTGAGCAAGAAAGCAGTATGGTGTACTGATGCACACGGGGTTTTCTTCTTTTCAAAAAGAGTAAGTCCCAAGGTCCTTGTTCGAACCAAGGTACTGCTCTCCATCTCCACAACGTCTACATTTTTGAACAAAATCCCTCTGAATCTCTGACACTCCACCCACTCTGAAACTGGGTAAGAAAAGGCAGTTTGGTGTATCGATGTACACAGGGTTTTCTTACTCAAGAATTGAGAAATAATGTTTCCCGAAGTCCTTGTGCTGTTGATCCATGTGAGGTCGTTTGACGAGTCGGAGTCAGGGTACCTTCGCGCAAGTGGAAGGGGATTTGTGCTACATGCTTCAACTTGTGTTAGTAGCAAGCAGCAAGAACGATCACGGTGAATTGAACACAGTTCAACTGTGTGGTTCATAGTCAACTTAGACCACGTGCCACAGGTTGGCTTTTCCTTTCATGAAGCCAGTGCTTTACTAAAGAACGTCTCAACGTCTCAGAGTTACCTTACCATGTCGCCTCCGATGCCAGCCATCTGTTTTAAGTAATATATGACAATCGGCTTCCTTATGGCTACTTTTGAACTTGCTTTTTGATGCGCGCCGTTGAAAGGCGAAAATCGAATCTCACACCATTAATGAAGGGACATGATTTAGGATAAGTGTTACGGTACCTTGAGATTTCAGTTGACATTTACTACGTATTGTACTATCCATCGGCAAGGAACTAAGCACAATTTAGAAATTCAATACGTGAAAACAACCCGACACGGGGGCAAGTCTTATGGGCTCTCCGATCAGGAGGAAGGGAATGTCATGCATTTGGTGCGGTGCTGCGTTCACCTTGACCATCAATTCGCTGGTACTCGAGAAATCATTCAATTAATTTCAAGTTACCTGAACTGAGAGGATGAATCTACCCTAGGTGTTGCCATCTAAAACTTCACCAGCCGGATGAGTTCCTCTCTCGCCTCTCCCGCGCGCGCCTCCTTAAGGGCCTTCGATATCTTTGCCACATTTTCCTGCAATCTCGCGCCCTTGGCACCGCGTGCAGCCGCAAACGTCGCCTTGAACTCCTCCGATGCGTCCTGCACAGTACCGGTGATTTTGACACTACTGTGGAGGGATGGCGCAAGTTGTGGGCCAGCACGAATCTGGGCACGTCAAAATTAAATATGATGATTCAAAAAAAAAAAAGGGGTACGGAACACTAATTACCTGGAAGAGCTCGATAGCCACTGGATTGGCCCTGCTGACAACATTGCGGCGTTGATGGGCTGCTCAGCACCTACGGGCCAGATGATGAGCGGGATATCCTGCGTAAACGACTCGGTCACAGAACTACGAAAGAACGTGAGTGGTGCGAAAATAAAACTGGTTGACTGGAGATAGAGGTAGGAACTTACTTGAACCCGCCGTGTGTCAGGAACCATCCGACGCCGCCATGCTGCAGGATTGCGAGCTGCTCGACCCAAAATTCGCAAATGAGCCCTTTCCCGCTCGCGTTGACGCGCTGTATGAGGTCTGCAGGAGGGACGCCATCGCGGACCCAAGTGCGAAGATGAACGGGAATGGCTGCTCGAGTTCGAGTAGCGTGGTCACAAGCGCTTCGACGAGCTGCGGCGTGGCGACCGGGAAGAAGAGCGATCTGGCGAGAGTCCAACATGTAAGGAATCTGAGCAGTGATGCCAAAGAATACACGCGCGCACCCGAAGGATATGTAGAGGACAGATTTCTTGCCGTATTCACTCACAGCGCGGTCCAAGAACGATTTGACACGCTCGTTGGACAGCACAGCCGGGGTAGCATTGGCCCAACAGAGCTCGTGCGCCTGCATCCCGATGGTAAACAGCTCTTTCCCGTGCGTCCCGTAAAATTCACGGAGGTACGGCACGCCGACGGGCTCGACACAGGTGCTGGTGGTGGCAATGTATCCGTCGGCGGCCTTGCCGAGCTTCTGGGCGCTCGACAAAAGGCACCCATACCAATCGGTGGCCCGGCGCCATACGCGAGGCGTTCGTAGTCGTACATGTCGGGGCCGCCGGGATACTTAATGACGATTCCGGATGTTTTATCCGTGCCGTTAGAGGCCTCGAAAACCTGTAAGGGTGAGGTTGGAATAAATTAATGGTAAACAATCTTGGATGAAACCCAACATTTTGCACAATGTCGTCCAGAGAGCGCCCCTCCCGCTTCGACTCGTCTGCGTAGATTTCCTCAGCTATCGCAGTGAAATCGTAGTTGCTGAAATGTGCGGGCAAGGAAATAACGGCGGAGGTCCACCACACAAGGGTCTTGCAGTCGGGATCAAAAATTGCCTTGGTGGGTTCGATTACAAAGCCTCCACAGGCGAAATCGAACTGAGAGAAACATCGGCATCAGGAAATGAGACCAAAATAAAATGCGTACATGAATGGCTTGCGGTTTGGGCCATCCCTCACTTCCGTGAGCCAATCGAGGAATGGTCTCCATCCAGCCGCCACAGAGCTGTCCAAGTGCCTCCTTGATCATGGTCGGTCCGAACTCCAGGCTGCATAATCAAGGAGCCGTCAATTACTGAAACGCGATGCGAAAAAACTGAGGACGCACTCCTTGGCGCCCACCCCAATGAGTCGAAGTCGCGCTTTGTCGTAGGAGCACCCTGCCAACGCCGCCTCCATCTTCGGGACTGATCATAGCAAATCTCGCAATTCAGACATTGTATTCTAGAGAAGGTACGCACCAATAAGGTTGTGTTGCACAATCGTAATAACGAGAGTAGGATCCACAGCGAGCATCTGGTCCACAGCATGGATATAGCTGATTGTGTGTCCCCACGCGGGCGGGAGCATTGCGACAATGTGGTGGGGAGCCATGTTGAACAGGAACAGATGGAGAGCGAAACAAGCGAGCTCTTTGGGACAGGGTTTGACTGCTCCGAGTCTTGTAAGTCTTAGTAGGTGCTAAAAATCCTTGGGAAAGTACCGTCCCATCTGATTGGATAAATAGCCAACGCGTGTACTTGAAACACAAAACCCCAAACATCAGTGATTAATATGATCGGTAGTACTGTTGTCTCCGCCCGAGGAAACCGAGGCACAGCGCTGCAGAGTAAATCGCTGCGCGCGCAGGAGTTGAGAGGAGTTGCCGTTGGAACTACTAATATGGACTGGAGAACCAGAGCCCAATAGAGGAGAAGAGAAAAGAAAACGGAGAGAACTTGAAAGGTGAGCCCACTGAAAATAGCTGGCAGGACAAAAGTGTTTGAGGGTGTTGCGTTGGTTTTGCGTTTGAAACGTACGCGTTCGTTACTCAAAGGGTGCCGTCCTCAGAATCGGCACGGTCCGATCAATCCGACTAAATGCGGCACG